AGATAAGTCCTAAGTGCGATGTTTTTCAAATAATCCCTACAGATATATATATATATATATATATGAAATAAAAATTACTAAAAATATAAAAACGAATTTTTAATAATATTAGATAATGTTGCATATTAATTTAAATACAAAATGCGCGAAAATAGTTTCTCAACTATGTGTTAACTAATGTTATTTATAATTTTTAAGATTGCATTATTTAAGACGAAAAAGTAATATATTTTTCTATCTTAAATGATACAATCTCAAATAATGTAAATAACATTAGTTAACATATCGTTCAGAAACTTGTAACCTATATATTCGTATAGATTTGCGCGCATAGATTTGAATATCCTCACTATTGATCACGTGATCGCTTTTAGTTTCGGTGCACAGTCCTAGGCGGCGCTAAGAGGTTTGTTCCTAAGAGAGAAGTTTGGCCCCTGGGCCTAAAGCTAAGTCGGATCATATACCAAATCATCGATACTATTAAAGATCTTTGGCGCTTATGAAAATTCGCGTGCCTGTTAAAATTTAAGCGATTAAAAATAAGAAATTAGTAATACGGTACTAATTTTTAATGATTTATTAGTTTCGTAGCATGTACATATATTTAAAACTTAATAATACTCGATTTTTATTTAAAACTGTGATTTTAATGTTATCATCCAAGTTTGATTATCAATAAAGATAATAACTGCAGAAAAAAAAATTGTAATTTTTCAGTAATAAGATATTATAGCATTAAAAGTATGCATATTTATTTATACAGCATTTATATAATAAAAAATTACAAATTTAATAATGTATTATCGAAATATTTATGTTAATAATCATAAATTTTTATTAATTATTTAATTATCGATAATGTCACCGTTCTTCAATTATTCCTCAGGCCAGTTACGAAAATTTATCTAGAACCGAGGGTCTTTAATAATATCTCGTGACCAAATATTTTAGTATGGAACCTAAATAATTTAGATCGAATTTGGGTATAATTATAATTAATATATAATTTAGGTCGCAGACTATGTACACGGTGTATAATTAATAATTTAGGCCACGGACTAAACGCACAGTGTAAACGTAATCATAGGCTGGTATTCATAGTTAATTTTTATATTTAAGGCTAGTCTTAAGCACAGTCATAAGTCAATCAGAGGGCCGTATTAGCAACTTAAGACATTATTTAAGTCGGTCTTAAAATAAGAATCGACTGTGGAATATCGGCCATAATGATTTAAAACTGCTCAATTATATGTAGGTTAAATGGCTGATTTATCTATGAGTCACGCATCGATAGTTATAGTAATTGCATGTGACAATTCATGGATAGATAACCGTTTAACTGTATAATCTATAATTGTTTTAAACTTTTAAATTTCAAAAATTATTGCTCGGAATGGCAAATAGTCTTTTAACTTATTCTTTTTTCCAGAACTTTTTTGTTGTGTTATTTTGATTGGCGAATTTCGAGACACTTTGTACAAAAATTAGCTTTTAAGATTTAATATTAATTAATAATGTAATTTTAAAATCTAATATCTTATTTTATCATCATATTAACAAAAAAATGTCTCGAATAAAAAAGTAATGAATGATAAATTTCTAATTGTAAGTAATAGTAATGCGTGACGTCACTTTTAAATTTAAACTCAATCGAAACAGCCGTGTTGAGATCCGATAATCTCGATCTGGCGCAATTCGTTTACTCGCGTAAACAAAGTCAGTGTCTTGCGCCATACTTAGCGCCGAGACACTACTGTGTCTCCAGATTATTAATAATAATTAACGATAACAATTATCTTTTAAAGAAAAAATAACGATAACGTATAATTATAAAGTAATATTCTCAATCCTGATTGTAATAATATCACTTTAATTAAAAGATATTCTTTAATCTGAAGAATAAAGAATTCTTTCATCTCATAATTTTTTCTCATTATTTTTTTTGTACGTCTGTTTGTTATTATAAAGTTAGAAAAAGATTATAACAAATTATATAAAAGGATTGTAATAGAGATATTGCATAATAAGATGAGAGGAAACATGAATAATGAGAAATAGAACAAAGATCAGGATGGTGTAAAAGAAAGTTAATAAGCAGTCAAATTAGCAGTCAGGAATTGAATACAATGAGGCTAAGAATAATAATATACACGATAATACATATTTATTGGTGCATATTATAAAACGCGTTGATTGAAATAAATAGTGTGGATTTGGAGATAAATAAATTTTTCTAATTTAATAACGTAATAAAAATTAATATTTTTAATGAAATATAAATTAAAAGAAATATGCTAAAATTTATAAAATCTATGATAACAACATATGTTAAGGTCATCGGAGCAAATCAAATCATCGGAGCTATCTCCCCTATTCAGCTATTAATCAAATTTATATTCACAAAGAAATAAATACGGTTAAAAAGCAATTTAAATATTTACATCTAAAACGAATTAATTATTGAATTAATTATTGGTGCGAATTAATTACTAAAAATAACAACAATGATGATAACGTGGTCCAAGAAAGAAGGCTGTAAATAAAAATCTTTATTTTTAATCAAAATTTTAAACAGTTTGAATTTTATTTATGTATTTTTATTTATGTATTTTAAATTCTTTTTTTAATTTGAAGATTTCACAATGTGAGAATTTTTATCGTTATTATCATATTGTGCAACATGTAAATATTTTTGTTGATTGTCACAATGTGTTTTACTGCAATATACATCATCAAATACAAAAATTAGAGTGGTAAGTATTGATACACCAGCAAAAATAATCCACATAATCAACTCTAAAGTGACCTGCGAAAAAAATATAACAAATTTTAAATGAATTGAAAAATATACACAAATATATACAAATAATAGATAGAAATATCGAAAAAATTTTTTAAAATTTAAAAAATGAATATGTTGAATATTTAATCCTTTTAATAATCAAAATATTAAATAATTATTAAATTACCTCAATGACTGCTCTCAAAATTGTTATTATATATGGCCTTTCAGAAATCCATTCCCACATCATAAATGGCAATAACATAAGAAACAATAATAAGTCAAGTGTGTGTATGACAATTATAGAAATAATTTTGTTTAGTTCAAACACAGTCCATATTCTTGTATACATGCTAATATATAGATAAAAATGTATATAAGTTAGTTATATTTTAGATAAAATAAATTCTTAAGATTTAAATTTAATGAATATAAGTTGCATTTATATTTAGATGTATTTATATATACGTAAAAAATGTACGGAAAAAAAGGTTGATACACAATTAAATAAATAATTAACAAATTAAAAAAATATTTTACTTACGTGATTATTTATATCTTAATTTTACATTTCTTAAATATTTCTTAAATAAATTATCTTCTATTGTATATTTTTAAGTTCAATGCAATCGTTCTTTTAATTCATATTATATAGATTTGGAATCTAGCCTATACTGTCAATGGATAATCGAAATATTGGCGTAATTATTTTAAAGCATTTTGCAATGTTTCTTTTTTTAAAATAGCATGATTAATTTTTATCTGTTGTATATTTGTAAACGAAAGTATTATTAAGTATTATTAAGTGTATTATTGAGTGTATTATCAAATGAAAATTATAACACGTACGATTTATATGGTACTACAGCTGTCAATTAATAAACTTGTCATTAATGATTAAACCGTGGTGAAAGAAACTCAAGTGCGTTTGTTCTTGAGACAAATTTCGTACGATTCTGCGCAGATTCCAAATTAAATGCGGCCATTTAAACATTTGCCGCAGTAATTTTGAAATGATAATTTGAGAGATCAAAATGAATATGTACTTGCCAAATAAAAATATAAATATGATCATCAAAAAAAAGAATTCAGAAATATGTATTTTTATCACTTCCTCTCCAAAAAACGTTAATATTAATGTAGGAAAAAACTCATGGAAAATCAATTTTATTTATTATAGCTGATAAACGTACGTCTATAATAAGAAAAAAATTGGTATCCATTGCTGATCTAACAATCTAGACAACTTAGAAAATAGAATTCAACTGATCGTTACAAGCAAAACTAGAGCTAGGTTCAGATTAAATCAGAATAAACGTCTTTAAGATACTGGTAGATAAAGATAGAAAAATGAGCGCCTTGATCAGAGTAATGCAACTCTTTTTTGACGAATCCGAATCAATCGATTGAATTCTTACTGCTAAAGACCGAATCGTTTGTCAACAGACAGAGTCCTCAAATCAGCCGACAGCAACAGTAGTTGCTAAATCGCGCAAACATTTGCACCATTGTGGAGTGCATGACATTACGCAGCCGGCATCACTCGTGCCCAGAGCTCTTGACGTGAGAGTTGCAGTGACCATAATGGCCACTTCATGCAGCAACGTTTCAATGAGAGTTCCGCTTACTGTCAAAACATCGAAGATATGATTCCATCGTCGAATCTAAAATTTCATTGAATGGGTTTTGTGAAAAATCAATTAACTTCCGATAACTTCAACGAAGCATTCCTGAAGCAAACGCGCGATGCGACGAACCAGCTGCGATTCGTTCACTTTCAATTAAATCGGCGACGAGGGTACGTTAGCTTATTGGATTTTAAAGAAAACGATTTTATTCAAGTATCTAAAAATTTACCTAAATATATAATTCAGATAGATCCGAAAATGTGTGTATGTGTGTTTAGATAAAATATTTATTTCATGTAAAAATATTAATATTAAATAAATATTTTAAAAATATTTTTTAAATATTGTGGACTGATTAGTTTAGAAAAACTGTTCGTGTATTTCTTCAGGGTACTGAGCCCTCCATCACGTCAAGGTTCTCGTGAAAGGGAAGATATCATCATAAAAGATGCGAAAAATTAATTAAATTATTAGTTATACAAACTATATTAATTATGAAAATAGGAATCGCTTGTGAAATTGTATTATTTATTGCTTAAGGATATTTATATTAACATTGCTTTTTTATGACTCGTATGTTATCGTTCAAAGTATAATCGAAAGTTATACTCAAGCAAAAAAAGAAAACTTTTTTGTTAAACAAAAATAATTATCGTCTATTATCCCTATCCTTAATTATCCCTATTTTCGCAAAATAATAATAAATTCTGTCTTTCTATTGCGTTTTGATTCCAAATAATTGAATCGTACAAAATATCTATTAATTTCGTAATACATGATTGACATCTCAATTGTTTCATAATAGTTAATCGTGAAAGCTAATAATTGTATACCGTAAGTATTCATGAAGTCACGAATGCCATTGTACAAGTAGCGATAAAGTAGAGCAAAAAAAATTATAACTCAATACCGAGAAATTAAAAAAAATTTGTAAATGTATTATTTGAAAGATGTATAAAATGTATCAAAAAGTGCATGACGTTATTGCGCAATCGATCCATAGAATATAATAATCAGAATGCGACGAGTCAATACTCAAAAACGACCGAAAGAAATACGAAATAGAACGTTTTTTATTGATTAATCAATCTCATTATGCACAAATGCAGCTTTTATGCTTTACAAATGCAAACGTTTCGTATTATCTAACATTTGTCGCGATTACATGATTACATTTCAAAAGGAATGTGGAACGACTATGCATAAACCTCGGTGGCTTTGTATATGAATGACGCGATAACTGTGTGTAAACATGACGTGCCGTCCGACCGACCGCCGCGCGTTGCGTCTGCGTTAAACAAAGATTTGCGCGCCGATTGTCCAACTGTCAAAATATTTTAATGCATATTACGAAATAAAATAATTTATTCGTTACACATTTTTAATATTCTCTGATGAATAAATTTTATTGCACAGTTTTTGCTTTATTTCTTCGATTTCTTAGATTTATTATGCATACACACAACTCATCGACACTGAAAAAAATTTTAATCATTTTTAATCCAATGAATAATCGTTAATCAATGTCTGACTTAATATAGTTAATTCATTGATATAACAACTGAATTCATTTATATGATATACTTATATGATATATTCTTGCAATGAATTCTAGTAATATATATATATTATATATAGAGTTTTATAACCTAAATCTCATTAGAATTTTCAGTAAATTCAATAATATTTTATTGTATTTACGTAGTAAATAGTTTTAGTTCAGTGTATACTCCGTAAATATTTTAATTGTGATATAACATATTAGCGGTTATTAGTTTGTAATAACTTTATATTACACGAAATATTTAATTTTTTAATATAAATTTATGCCGAAACATTCTGCTTTTTACATTCCAAATTAATTTTACTTATTATAGGATACTAATCCAAAATAAAGAATAAAGTCTTATTTAATCGAAAAGTATTAAGCTATTTTAAGTTATTTTAACAATAACACTTTTTTTATCAATCAGTCAAATTTCGAAAGGAATATAATTATGTTATTTTAAATAAATAAACAAAAAATTCAATTTTTAATTTTAATCATTTAAACATTTACACGGCGGTAATTTTAAAGTGACAGCTCAAGAGACCAAAATGAATATTTGCCAAATAAAAACATGTAAAAATGATCATCGAAAAAAGAATTTAAAAATATACATTTTTATCTCTTCTCAAACAAGAGAGCGTTAAAATTAAAGTAAAACTTGTGAAAAATTAATTTTTATTATGGGAAAATTAATTTTTATTAAATTTATTATATTATATATTGTAGGCAAATATAATTAAAAATCTCTAAAATTGTAAATAATATAAAGCTTAATTTGGTTTCACTAAAAAATGTGAAAAAAATGACGAAAAAATCTAATCTTTTTTTCAAATAAATTTTATTTTAAAAAATTTTGTAATTTTTACTCGGAGTGAGATTTATATAAAAGACTAATTATATAAAAGACTATAATCATATGATAAATACTTACTTTTTTGTTTTACATTTGGATAGACTACATGGTTCAATTAAAGTTTCGCAAAACGTCTTGCGATAAGGCATATACATGAGTGCAAAAAGTATTCGTATAGAGAAAATATTTTTTAAAAAAACTTTACTTTTAAAAAGTAAATATTATCCAGAAATGAGTGATTATTGAATTGATGTCGAATCGATATAAATTCGATGATTTCAATACTAATTTGTCGATTCGACAATGTCGATTTGATTAACGACCATTTCTTGTTAACAATTTATTCATAATTAACAATTTATTCATAATTAACAATTTATTCATAAAGAATAAAATAGATTGTATTTCTTAAAATTATATATATTAAAATGATGTATATTAATTATACAAAATATATCATCTGAAAAATAAGTGAAAATTAAAAATTGTAATGTTTGATTGCTCAAAAAGTATTCAGTACAGAAATTTAGTTTCTAAAATCAGGAATACATGCGAAACTCATTTATGTTTATGTTAGAACAGAATGTATTCATTGTATAAAATTACTAATTAATGTTTATTTTTTTACAAATAAGATTTTTTTTTATAACAAATTTCCTTGTACGAACATTTTTTACTCTCTATATAACTCGGATAAATATATTAAATATATTAATAAAATCTAGGAATGCACCGGATCGTAAAATTATTGGATACCGGATATCGGATATCCGGTATCCGATCGGAAAAAGTGCTGGATAATATCGGATACTGGATGCTAATAAAATCTTTTAAAAAGTTTGTACGTAACTATTAAAGATGTATAAAATATATACGTATATGTAAATGTATACTCTAAAATTTATCGGAATGATATAATTTTTCCCAAAAAAATTTCTTTCTTTTCTGAATATTTTATATCAGGATCATCCTTTAATTGATCTTTTTGAGCAAGTTCATCCAACCTTTATTCTTTTTATTATAATTAAATATAAAATATTTATTTGATAATTTTTAAGTTATAATAAAAAAGATAAATAAGAAAATGTTATCAAATTTATACATTTTATTTTATTTATTTAATAGATAGCAATTACATTTAGTACGTAAATCTATTGACGATTTTGTTTAGAACATACGAATTAATTTAGAAACGTAAGTCAGAATATTATTATCTAAAATTAAAATATTAATTTGTATAATACTTTGTATAATACTTTTTGGTATCGTGCATAAAGCATAAAGATAATGCATAAAAGCAAAATAGTACTTATAAAATTTATAATTTCAAATACTTATGCAATCTAACTCCTCTAATGATGTGCAACAAATTATCATTACATTTATGATGCAATTTTTTTTAATGCAATTATTTAAGCATAATCGATAATACAAAAACTCAACAGTACCTGTATGAAATTATAGAGTTATAGATTTTTTAAATATTTTATTCATTTAATGAAACAAATTTTTTTTTGCAAATATAAAATTTGATTGTAAAAATTTGAAAATTTGTCTAATAGATTTATAAAAATAATTTTAACAAATCTAAAAGAGTAAAATTTCTTGTTATTTAAATATAAGTACTAAATTAAATATAATTAGTTTAGCTTCTGTAGAATGAAGAATATATGTTCACGTTATTCTTATTATGATAAAATCAATTGGTCACTCGATGATGATAGCAAGGTTGATGTGTCGTATGCCTGTGATGTCTATGTAAAACATTCCTTGCGTGCTTGCGTCTTTCTCTAGCAGCTATTTGCTGTCTATGGACGAAAAGCGGTCTAAAAACCTTAGAATCTTGTGCCTGCATATCTTCCGCCTCACTAGTAACCTTCTTTTCGACCTTGTTCTCGGATCCCGTACGAATAGATCTCCTTATTCTAACATTTTCATTTCTTGAGTCTAATTTAGCAGCTTGATGACTTATGCTTGACAATGGTACTCTTTCTATAAAGCCATTAGTCTCCATTTTATTCTTTGGTATTCCATAAGCTTCCACCTATAAAGAAAACTTTCATTGTATATGTTTACAATTATTACATACATATGAGATATATTGTTTTATAATTTTTGTAAACATATCTTATTCTATGGTTTAAATCAATAATGTAATATAATATAATATAATATTGCAACTATTGTTGTAGTATAATATGAGTTAATATAAGTTATATAATTGTAGAAATTATTAATTTAAATTTTTTAATCATTGTAATTTAATAAACTTAATATAATTTTTTAATATAATGTGTATCTTAATATTATCTTATATAAATTTATATATTATAATATCCAAGTTCTGATATAATGTTAAGATAAAATTAAAAAAAAATTCAAGTCATGAATTTAGAAACATATTAACTGATTAAACAGAATGTTTACCAATCGACCACTTTTTAAGATGTCATCTCTTATGCGATCTTCTCCAAGCTGCAATCTCTCAATAATACCGTTATCTTGTAAATGTTTTTTCGGTAAACCATATGCGCGAATGCCTGGTTTATCCTCTTCATTAGAATCCAAATGGATCCTTCGTACTTTACCGTCTAATCCAATTTGATTGTAGATTTGCACTCGCTTAATGTCTCTTTCATCATCCAAGGATTTGTCCGATTCTGTGTAATCTGGATGATTGATTGATCGATCGGAATTTAATACGCTTGTGTGCTGGTGACTTCTTGTACTGCTTAAGCTTAGCGAGATGGTCACTAAAAAGAGCTGAAAAATAGATTAATACAAAGCAAAACAAACAATTAATAAAAAGAGCTGAATAGAATATAAACAATAACATAAGATAATAATCGTTTATTTGCAAAGTAATATATCAATGAAACAACCAGGAGCAAACAAATAAGATATTTAAATAAGTAGATCCTTTTTATTAACCATTTAATAAAATAGCAAATATAATGTAATATAAATACCTAGGTTTCGGCTCACAGAATCTTCATCAGTTGTAATAACATGAAAATTAAAACTTACAATCTTAAATCTTACATCTAACTATAAAATGACAATGAGAGACAAATCGGTAACTAGATAGAATTTTCTTTCCGCATGTAATGTAGTAATTAAAGCAGGTACATGCCATGTCCAACAATAAAATATAAATGTGTTACTTTTGTTTTTATAACCGCAACGATATAGTTACATTTTTTTGATAACGATAACGAATTTTATATTTGCTTTTATCGTTACTTTACATACGATTGGACATGGCTCGATTGGACAAGCTACTCATAATGCTTGAGATTCTTAAGCATCCGTTTGCTGTGATTGTTGATATTTAAAAAATAAGAAAAGAAATGAAAAGTTACTTTTTCAAGCAACATAACTGTAATGAGTTATTTTTAAAAATCGGTAATTTGTTACCTTTTCTACTCAGTTACGAGTAACTATCACTTGTTACTTTTAAAAAGTAACTTTCCATTCTCTAATTTTTAGTGACTTAAATTTAACTGTCTGGACAATCTCACAATATTGACCTTACAATTTACATTGGACTTAACTTAATTTTCGCTGTCAAATTTGTTATTGGACTTTACATTTTGATGCTAACTCATATTTTATTGTTGGACATGGTGTATGCCTGCATCTCTAATTACTACATTATAAGCGGAAAGAACCAACTTGCCTCTCATTTATTGTTAGATTTAAGATTGTAAGATTTAAGATTTAAGATTGTAAGTTTTAATTTTTTTATTATAACCGATGAAAACTCTGTGAGCCGAAAATTTATATTATATTATATTTGTTATTTTCTAAAATGTTATAAAGGATTTGCTTATTTAAATATCTTATTTGCTGGTCTCTTAATAATTTTGAATTATTAAAATAGATTAATATTTACATATTTTGCTTTTAACTTGCTTTAACTAATTTTGCTTTATTTGTGAAGATGTTAATTTTTATATTATTTCTATTTTCAAATGCAGATTACCAATAAAAATAGTTTCTTATTTTTATTTACGAAAAGTAAGAGAATAAAAAATTAAGAGTGTAGATAAAAAGTATTGATATTACTTAATAAATGTGTACGTTTATTAAGTATAAAAAGATATATCTACATTAAATTAAAAAAATCTTTTTAAATTCTCTCGAAGTTGACATAGTCTTTATTACATGACGGAACATATAAATGTTATCTTCTGCGGTTTGACACGATAACTTTAATCATATCTTAATAAAAAATAAAATGAAAGATGACATATTTCCTTAAGCGAATATATACTTTAATGTCATTTAGACAATCGAAATAAAAAAATGTCATGACTTCTGCAAGTTTATGGAAAATCAATCTTGATTCAATAATAATTTTCCTGTCTATTTTATGTCTTAGTATCTACTAATGAAGATAATAAAAAGTATTTCATTAATTGTTACGATTTCCATTTTTAATGATTGAAGACATTTTGCAATATAACGTTTTCTCATCATCATGAATAAAAAGAAATAAAAAAACTTCATGCGCAAATAAACAAGAAATTAAAATTAAACTTTAATTTAAAAAATTAAAACTTAATTTAAAATGTATGATTAATAAAAGCAGTTAAAATAAAAAAGAAGCATTTGGAAGACCATGAAATTAATGTTATTTTTTATTTTATTATTACATTATTATTTTATTATTTTATTATCACATATTTATTATTTTATCTAATTATTTAATTAAATCAATTATTATAATTAGACAAATCTGTTATATTTTTGAAATATAGCATTATAGTCATATTTTTAATAATAATTTTTAAATATAATAATATTTTTTAAAGAATTATATAAAACTAATTATTAACTTTATATATTTTATTTATATTTTAATATTATTATATTTTTATTATTACATCTTTAATATAGATTTTATCATTTTAACATAATTTGTATTCAATTAAATTAATGTGATAAAAAAGGAAACAACAATAAGTTCAATCTGATATATTTAAAACTGTAAAATATTCTGAATATAATATCCAATCAAAAAAATTTTTTTTAATATTGAAGAAAAGCTAGAATTTCAAAAATTAGATTAATTATTCGATAAATTATATCATTTCTGATTCTTACCGTCAATATGAATCTCATTGTACAGTGATATTTCCTTTCTTCCTATCGCGAATGTCTTGATTGCGGCTCGCTCTCCAGTTCTTGCTCGGACTCTTAGGCAGCGTTTGAGGGGAAAGATTGACCGCGCTACGGTTATATACCTAAACCGGCTGCGATCTCGAAGAACGCAATTAAGTTAGTTTCACACAGGAGTCTGTGATATGCAGATTCGTTATAAAGCAAGAGCAGTCTTGTTCCTGGTAAAAATCCTGCCACTGTGAGTCTACAGTGAATCATCTTCGTAAACGAACTGCAAACAGATGAAGAGACTCGAAAATTCATAATGTTTCTTTTGCAACACAAGATGGGTGAAAGCCCTCGATGGAAAAAAAATTATCAGGGAAAGGGAAAGGGAAGCAAACTTTTGACCATATCTGCGAAATAATAGTTTCAGGATGTTGTTAATTTTATAAGAGTTATACAGATACCGAATTTTTGAATATACCATTATTACTATTATAACTTATTATAACTTATAACTTATAATTTCTTATTATAATTTATTATTTATATTGTGTTATATTTTAAATTGAATTTTTTAGTGGAAAAGTTGTATAAATATGAATTGTAATATAAATATGGTAAACAATAAAAAATAATTCTATAATAAAGTAGTACTTATACTTTATTAAGCTTACGTTCATATAACTTTTGTATTATGTTAACAATTAGATATTATTGGAAATTGAAGACATTTTTTTAGTTTATTATGAAACTTGATTTTTATGATGATACAGATACCGAAACTACTTCTGACTTTCATGTAAACTAAGGATTAGGCATTTTCTTGTAATCCACAATGAATTCTGCTAGTGTTAAAAGCCTATTCATTGAGCGCTAAACATTTGTACGTACGACTCACACGTGTTGCATATGCAAGCGGTTTTCCCACTCTTCCAGTGACGATGACAGTGTTTCTCATTTAAAAGTAATTCTGATACAAAGAACAAAAATAATAAAATTTATTTCATACTCTTACTATCGATATATAAATACTATCGATATATATATGTTGTTTTATATTTAAATTTTAATTAAATTATTATTGAATGATTTATGAGGTATACATTTATTACGCTAATTAAGAAATCTAAGGACAAGAAATTAAGACATCACGAAAAATTAGATAACCACCGTCTTACATCGTATGAATGAATAGTTGAAGGAGCGAGTGACTAACTATTCGCCCCGAGGGCATTAACAATGACACATTTACTACAGACTGCAGTAATTTCTACCATATTCCTAGAAAGTATACCAATAATCGATTCACCGATGAGACCTTGACTAATGTTCGCAATTTTATGTCATCTAATATTAGGAACTGTTCCTATGTTATAAACATTACATTTTTCTCCAATATTATTTAATATTAAATGAGCCATTAAAGAAATATTGATAATATGTAATATGTAAATAATAAAATTCTTAATACAGTTGCTACAATTAAATATAGATATTATTGTAATAAGAAATATATAATAATTTTTATAATAGTGAAACTTAATAACAATTTGGTATTATCATGAAGCAATGCTTTATTTATTGTAAAATTAATTGCAATGATAATCAATCGTAAAAAACATCGTTTAAGGAATTAAATATTTTTTTAAGCAATCGTTTCAAAATAATCTATATTACTACTTTCTTTAGTTCTTTAGTTAATAAGATTCAAATATAATTATGCATTAATTATCCTATTTTTTAAATATATATAGGTACTTTCGAAAGAAGCATCGGTTTTGTTTGTTTTTCTCATAAAAACAATAGAAAGACAAAGAAAAACAATAGAAAATTAATTTGCATCCACGAATTTATATATTTTTTAAAACGGCACATATTTTTTTTACACAGACTTTATGTTCCACTTTAGAATATATGTATTTGATACGTTTCATTTATATCATCGTCAGACCCTCTGGCAAATATGCAGATTCTCTAATATGCAGATATATATCTCGAGATACGATCTAGTAAATGTTAAATTAATTCCAAAGCTTCCTTTTTTAGCAGTTTAAATTCGCAACCATTTAACATATACACACTTTCTATTTTGAGGAATCCATGTAAGGTGAGAAAACGTGTTTTATTAAATTAAAGACGAGGAATAATTCTTCAAGTCTGTCAGGTTTAAATCTGATTGTGACCCATAACTGAGTTGCATGTTAAATAAAAATAATAACAGACTAGAATAATTATGCGATTGCTCATTTAAATATTATATTATATAGCATAAAGATATGGAAGAAAGAACGGGATTAAAGAACAAGGACAAAGTAGAATTAGGTATTGTAAAGTATAATTTATCTTAATTAATTTTTTATTTTCTTTGATAATTGCTTAGTTACAATTATCGATATTTTATTAATAAATATTTATTAACTCAAATATTAGTCTAATTCATTTTATTATTTAAATTTTATAGACTTGTTATAGACACTTAAAGTCGAGTTAAAAATATAAAAATCGCAATAAATAATAAATTTAATAAATTGTATTTTTACATAATTTAAATTAACGTATGTAATTTAACTTGACAATTATGAAAGATAATTATTTACGCTTGATAAATTATTTTAATAGTAATAAGAATATTCACTACCGTTAAAATACTAATAATAATCATTGAAATTATCAGAGTCTATATCGATAATTTTGTCTCGGATAAGAAGTGTAAGAATTGTATCTTTGATAAGCCGGATTTCTATAAGATCTCTGCTGCACCTCTTGTCGGTATTTGAAGAACGGTCTAAAAACAATATTTGCGGCAACTTCCATATCGTGTGGATCTTTGGGATAATTAATGTCCGCATCCGAAGTCCAAAAGAGTGGTGTAATATCGACACGAGACATTTTGACAGGCAACGAATTTTCGGAATTAATGTCATTCATGTACTTGATCTGTTTTGTATTCGACTTATACAGAGAAGGTGATACTCCCATCTATGATGAAGAAACATCTTTAAATCTTCCTCTATATATATTCATCTTTATATCTTTAAACATAAAGTTTGTAACTAATTTTAATTTAATTAGATATAATTGTATTGATGATAATGATTATAATTTATTGCAATTTTGAAATATAATCTATAAAATACAGATATACTAATATTTTTATAATTTAATTTTAGATTTAATTTTTTCTGCAACATTATTTTATAACATCTAACATATATACATATAACGTATATACATATAACAGCATATAAATTTAATCATAATAATTGAAGTAATGAAGTTTCTTTATAATTACATTTTAAGCATTTGTCTATCAAATTTCATAGTTCCTAAAAAGTAAAGAACTTAAAGAAATTATCTTAAATATTGTGAGAAAAATGGATTTACCTCCGAAGAGGATAGATCAAGTTGCCAATTATTAGGATCCATGTTCCTTTCATCGATGTAATTTTGAACATTCTGTTGAACTTCATCATGGCTGTTTTCTAATTGAGTTTTTAAAATTTCATCTTGCATTGGTACTGCCGAGATTGGCACGTCAACTTTATCATCAGAAATTTTTGCAGGTTCGAGAAATGCGATGATTGGTATCGATATTGTGAGTGGTGGATATTCCGACGACATTATTTCCTGGTTCGGGTTTGACATAAGATATGGAATTTCTTGAGATATGTTATCGGTAAGGAACGGCTTCCGCGTACTTTTAAATGTCTCGGTTGATGCTTCGTATAAATCGTCGTACTGTGATGCATAAGACGAAAGATCTTTACTTTCCTAGAAGATCATATAACATTACGTCAATTCATCACATGTTCTTTGACGATTTCTTTATAGATTACATCGGCAGTTAATATACATCATGACAAGTGTCGCTCATTTATTACAGTTCCCAGGCAATACGCATGTTTAAGACGATCTTTATGGCCAGTATTCGTAATCTGTTTTTATTTCAACCCTGTCTTGTAGTAAGATGCTAATAGTTTTGAATGATTTATGATCTTAAGACGATTTATATCTTATATATAAAAATGGAATATCAGCCTACGACATCTTAAACATGCATGTTATCGGAATATATGTACGTATACTTAAAAAAATATATGTTATACGATAATAAAATATCAATATAGTATTTTTACATATTTTACCGAGTTTATGTATCCATTTTCATCGTTTTCAGTAAAAAATTGAACATCTGTAGATATTAAATCATCTACATCAGTTTTTGCATTCACAGTTTCTGTTATATTTTTCCGTACATCCTCTAAATTCTCCACGGGAACGACAAGAATCTGCTCACTTTGTGACACCACCTTAAAAAAATTTTACTTTTAAATAATAATGTAATAAAATATATGAAAAATTTAAACATATGCTAAATTTTTTTATTTTCCTAAAAATATTATTTATCTCTATACTAAAAATAAATCGGCGTAATATAAAGCAACAATTAATAATTGTAACAACAAAATTACGTAATTCTTTTTAATAACTAATTAGCATTTCCAAACTGCTATTATGTAAATGAATCATAATTATGAATCATACTATGAATTGTTTTATTGGTTAATAAAAGCTGATGATAGCAGTCACACTAATAATTAACGAGTATATCGTTAATAGCAGCAATATTCATTTGTATTTTTAAATACCGTTATTTTTTAATAAGGCAGATGTACAGAAAGTACATATTGGAGCAATATTTATAATTAATTGTATATACATATAAAAATATACAGAATATGATGAGTAAACCTTAGTAGGTTCAGTGGCGGGCATAACAAGTATTTTCTTCTTTATCACCAAGCCTTCTAAGGATCTATTGCCAACTATATTTTGTACAGCATCTTGCACTACCGGATCCCGCACAACGGCGGCCAACGTATCATTCGTGGTCTGAGGTTCCGTTGGTAACAAATTTGCAACATCTTCATAATCAATAGGTTTCGCATCGGATATGCACACGAATAATACGAAGATCACAAAAAACATGATATTTCCAAGCTATAAAATGCAATGATATCATTTTTAAAAATACGAGCTTAATAAGTTTTGACTTGAATGCAATTAAAAAGCTGTATACTTTAAACAGATTAAAATTTACAATAGAATTTACTTTCTCGAG